TATATTGTGTACACAGGAATGAGTTGTGAACATTTAAATGATGTCCTATATTGTGTACACAGGAATGAGTTGTGAACATTTAAATGATGTCCTATATTGTGTACACAGGAATGAGTTGTGAACATTTAAATGATGTCCTATATTGTGTACACAGGAATGAGTTGTGTCCTATATTGTGTACACAGGAATGAGTTGTGAACATTTAAATCATGTCCTATATTGTGTACACAGGAATGAGTTGAAGGACAAGGAGGAGCAGGGATTCCTGGTCGGCCTCAAGATCCCTGCCCCGTGGTCGTCGGGCAAGGCGCTAGAGAGTATCCACCCTGTCCGTGATAACTACAAGTTTAAGGAGACAGTACACATTCCGGGGGCCCGCTGTCTCTACCTGAGGTTTGACCCGCGGTGCTCATCACAGTACGATTATGACAAGGTAAACTTCCCTGGTCAGGAAAAGGAGAAGGAAAATGAAATGTTGCTATTATTTTGAACACAAATTTTAAATGTGATGTGTTCAACTTCAATTCATAGTTGTGTTTAAATTTTAGATTTAGAATTCTGATGAAAATTCACCCATGTAAAGTTGGCATTGCCATTGTGGAAATAACACCCTTTGAACCTGATCTGATATATTTGTTGACTGTGTTACAGCTTGTGCTGTATGCTGGATCGACCACCACTGCTAAAAAGGTGGCAGAGTATGGAGGAAACACGTTTGGCTTTGGCAGCAGGAGTGTGCTGGGATCTGGCTGGCCCAAAGACCTTGTAAAGGTAGGAATATTGTCTGTGTATTTGTTTCTTGTAAAGGTAGGAATATTGTCTGTGTATTTGTTTCTTGTAAAGGTAGGAATATTGTCTGTGTATTTGTTTCTTGTAAAGGTAGTAATATTGTCTGTGTATTTGTTTCTTGTAAAGGTAGGAATATTGTCTGTATATTTATTTCTTGTAAAGGTGAAAAGTTTGTTTGATCAGATCAAATATTACTACGGCAGTGCCTCATAAAACCATGAATAATCTGAAAAACATTGAATGTTCCAATAATCTCATAATGATCTTATCAGATTCCTCCCGACTGTAAATATTTGACAGAGAAATTTCAACTCTCCACTTGAAGCAACCCTTGGGTGAGACAATTGAGGATAAAACCCTGAGGGTTGAGAGTTCTCCAACATACCCTTAGATTTATTCGGAAACAATCATGGTTATCAGGTGTTTTCTGTCATTATTTACACATGTTCTCTCCTGTCGAAAGCCAGATGTGACATCATATTGTGTTGCTTATCTTATCATTGTATTCTGTTCTGTTATGACATCACATCATTGTGTTGGCCACTATAATGTATACCACCACCATCTATGCACCCTTGAAGGGTGACACACTGATCTTTTCCAGCTGCAGTGGGAGACACCCTTGGAGGCTGAGAGAATACACCGTCACCTTTTTGTTGTAGGTTGACGGTGACAGCGTTACATTTTCCTTTGAGATGCGGAGTGGACGTGAACACAACACGCCAGACAAGGCCATGTGGGGATTCCATGTCACAGTCCGGGCCCAGGAGTCGACAGAGGAGGTGTCCAGTGGTCTCCCCTTTCTGGCAGACCTGGCCCTCGGTCTGTCTGTACTGGCCTGTACCATGCTACAACTGCTGTACCATGGACCAGAGACGTCCCGCGAGGAGGGAAGCTGTGCCCACCTTCTCAAGTCCAAGTTCCTACAGAGGTCTGATACAGTTTCTTACCGTTTCTGATATATTTCCTAGAAAGAGTGTGAGGCATACGGGTCAAAACGTTTTGTTAGTAGGATAATCTAGACTCTGTCAACTGTTTCAACTTAGAAGTTTGGTAAATGTTTGTCTGATTAATTATACTTCACCCTTGCCTTTTGATTAATTCAGTAACAGATTTCACTTGCATAACCAAAATTATTATTCTACAAAATAAAATGCTATTTTCTTATGCACCAGTATATACAATGTTCCCTTTCACCAGTGTTTGTGAAATGTTACCGGTGTAAAATGAGGTAATACTTTACAGGTGTGTGTGGCAGTCCCCATCAGTACTGACCCTGTCGCCTTCCAGCAGCCCCCAGACGTCCGACACACTGTCGCCTCTCCCCAGGGTCAGACTTCCCTCCGAGGTCTTACAAGGTCTACGGAAACTCTCCAAACGTCAGAAGGTGCCGCTCAGGCAAAGCATGAGGTAGGCTGGTCAACATCCAACTGTGGAATGATGAAATATTCTGTATACATACTCATTCACTCTGTGTGATTAGACATATCACATGTCTAATTTTGTCAGGAATATGTAGAAATGCTATTTTGAAACAACGTGATGTTTGTTCAGGTTGCTGCTTAATTTCAAGTTAAATGAAGTTTCTTTTTGTATTCATTGAAAACAAATTTTCCTAACAACAATTAAGTGGAACATAAACAAGAATATATGAGATAATCAGAAAATGTTTAAAGAATGATAACACTTTTATATTAAACCAAATTTCCTGTTGTTGAAATTTGTGAAAAGATTCATTTGTTGAGAATATCTGTTTGTGACCTCCCAGAGAGATCCTACAGCCAGATGTTTTGGAGGAGAGGATCGTGTCGACTGTAATTAAACATCTGTCACTGGAGGATACTGTACACCACATCATGTCAGAGGAACAGGAACACTCGGACGAGTTCTCCCTCCTGTGTGTCGTGGTGGAAGAGGTGTATCGTAGATACAACACACTCATGAGACAGCTACAGGTAAAATGTCCTAACAGTTAAACACACTCACGAGACAGCTACAGGTAAAATTACCTAACAGTTAAACACACTCACGAGACAGCTACAGGTAAAATGTCCTAATAGTTAAACACACTCACGAGACAGCTTCAGGTAAAATGTCCTAACAGTTAAACATACTCACGAGACAGCTTCAGGTAAAATGTCATAACAATTAAGCATACTCACGAGACAGCGACAGGTAAAATGTCCTAACAGTTAAACATCCTCACGAGACAGCTTCAGGTAAAATGACATAACAATTAAACATACTCACGAGACAGCTACAGGTTAAATGTCATAACAGTAAAACATATTCACAAGACAGCTACAGGAAAAGGGTCCTAACAGTTAAACAAACTCTTGAGACAGCTACAGGTAAAATGTCCTAATAGTTAAACACCCTCACGAGACAGCTTCAGGTAAAATGACATAACAATTAAACATACTCACGAGACAGCTTCAGGTAAAATGTCATAACAATTAAACATACTCACAAGACAGCTACAGGAAAAGTGTCCTCACAGTTAAACATACTTAAGAGACAGGTACAGGGAAAATGTCCTAACAGTTAAACATCCTCACGAGACAGCTTCAGGTAAAATGACATAACAATTAAACATACTCACGAGACAGCTTCAGGTAAAATGTCATAACAATTAAACATACTCACAAGACAGCTACAGGAAAAGTGTCCTCACAGTTAAACATACTTAAGAGACAGGTACAGGGAAAATGTCCTAACAGTTAAACATCCTCACGAGACAGCTTCAGGTAAAATGTCATAACAATTAAACATACTCACAAGACAGCTACAGGAAAAGGGTCCTAACAGTTAAACATACTCACGACACAGCTACAGGTAAAATGTCATAACAGTTAGACATACTCATGAGACAGCTACAGGCAAAACGTCCTAACAGTTAAACAGACTCACGAGACAGCTACAGGTAAGACGTCCCAACAGTTAAACACACTCACCAGACAGCTACAGGTAAAATGTCATAACAGTTAAACATACTCACGAGACAGCTTCAGGTAAAATGTCCTAACAGTTAGGCACACTCATGAGACAGCTACAGGAAAAATGTCATAACAGTTAAACACTCTCACGAGACAGCTACAGGTAAAATTACCTAACAGTTAAACACCCTCACGAGACAGCTTCAGGTAAAATGTCCTAACAGTTAATCATACTCACGAGACAGCTACAGGTTAAATGTCATAACAGTAAAACATATTCACAAGACAGCTACAGGAAAAGTGTCCTAACAGTTAAACATACTCACTAGACAGCTACAGGTAAAATGTCCTAATAGTTAAACCCACTCACGAGACAGCTTCAGGTAAAATGTCATAACAATTAACAATACTCACGAGACAGCTACAGGTTAAATGTCATAACAGTAAAACATATTCACAAGACAGCTACAGGAAAAGGGTCCTAACAGTTAAACATACTCACTAGACAGCTACAGGTAAAATGTCCTAACAGTTAAGCACACTCACGAGACAGCTACAGGTAAAATGTCCTAGCAGTTAAGCACACTCATGAGACAGCTCCAGGTAAAATGTCCTAACAGTTAATCATACTCACGAGACAGCTACAGGTTAAATGTCATAACAGTTAAACATACTCACAAGACAGCTACAGGCAAAATGTCCTAACAGTTAAACATACACATGAGACAGCTACAGGTAAAACGTCCTAACAGTTAAACACACTCACCAGACAGCTACAGGTAAAATGTCATAACAGTTAAACACACTCGCGAGACAGCTACAGGTAAAATGTCCTAACAGTTAAGCACACTCATGAGACAGCTACAGGTAAAATGTCATAACAGTTAAACACACTCACGAGACAGCTACAGGTAAGATGTCCCAACAGTTAAACACACTCACGAGACAGCTACAGGTAAAATGTCATAACAGTTAAACATACTCATGAGACAGATACAGGTAAAATGTCATAACAGTTAAACATACTCACGAGACAGCTACAGGTAAAATGTCCTAACAGTTAAACACACTCACCAGACAGCTACAGGTAAAATGTCATAACAGTTAAACATACTCACGAGACAGCTACAGGTAAAATGTCATAACAGTTAAACATCCTCACGAGACAGCTACAGGTAAAATGTCCTAACAGTTAAACATACTCATGAGACAGTTTCAGGTAAAATGTCATAACAATTAACATAGTCTTGAGGCTGCTTAAAGTAAAGTTCTTCTATCTGGTCAGTGTATCTAAGGATTGATTTAGTTCAGGACTCGTACAATAAAAGTATGTTTACAGCACATTTATTTCCACAGTGCAACTTTTCTAGAAACTTCGCTGAATCCATAGTCTTTAACAAGCAACGACATAAAGTTAGCCATTGTTTGATATATGTAATACAGTTCCACATTTAAGTCCAGTGAAGCCATTGTTTGATATATGTAATACAGTTCCACATTTAAGTCCAGTGAAGCCATTGTTTGATATATGTAATACAGTTCCACATTTAAGTCCAGTGAAGCCCTAATATTATGGGAGATCTTCTATTTTGTATGATGTATTGGATGTTAACTATTTATGGTGATTCTGTCAGGGCCTGGCTGACCTGGAACAAAGATGGTACAATGAGGTACAGGAACATAAGGCTGACAGTCAACAGGCTTCTCCGTTCTTCAACGATTATCATCTACAGGAGGTCAGTGGTCATAGCAACTTAAAAAATAACCATAGCAACTCAAGTAACAAGTAAACATGGCAACATTATGGGTACATTCGCGTTACCGGTTGAAACGGTTGAACCGGTTGAACCTGTAACGAAAACGACAGGTACAGATTTGGACCGAGGCTGACCTCAGGAAAATTTGGTACGTGTAGATTGAGGGGTCCAGACGTACCTGGCCGAAACTAAACTGCTGAATATTGCTAGTTTGCGTTATTTCTTTCTAAAACAATGTCAAGCCACATGTATTATTTAAGATACGTTATGTAATTTAGTGGACGCGTGAGAGAAGGGCATAATATTCTTGATACATCGTTTATTATTCCCCGAAACTGTGGATTTTTAGCTCTGCTTATAGAACGGTCCAAGTATGTTCGTTTATCGTGGAAAATTTCTGCGCCACACGTACCGTTTCAACCGGTAACGCGAATGTAGCCTATATCATCTCAGGAAAGTACACTCCATAGCAACTAAACAAGTTACCATAGCAACTCAAATAACAAGTAACCATAGCAACTCAAGTAACCTTTATATTTGTGTGTGAAGAACAACTTTCTTACTTCTGATTGATTTTGAGCTGCATAAAAAAAGCAGATATTTTGGAAAAACTATTTGATATCAGAATGAGCTATTTGGTTTATAGCATAAAATGTATCTGTTGATCTGAAGTAATACTTTTCTTTCAGTAATACTGTATGATAACATATATAGAAATGATCTCTTCTTGCCATTCCACCTTCAACTGATGTAGATAGAAGACTAAAATGTAAAATTTCATGATTCATTTAGAATGTTCATGTTAAACACTTAGACTATACTCATGTCTCGACTACCACAGGGTAACATGAAGGAGCTGCACATGCTATGCTTCGTCAAGGATGTCCAACTAGACCCTGCCGAGGTAGAGGATGCCATGAAAATGTTAAGGTAAGCGGAATCTGGCTGAGGACTAAATTCTACCCTGCAATATATAGATCTAGAGATGGGCTGTACTAATCACACATCAGCTGGCATTCAGTGTTACGACTGATTATGTCAGACAGTATTAATGTGGGTAGTTGAAATATTTCTATAGGCTGGCATTCAGTGTTACAACTGATTATGTCAGACAGTATTAATGAGGGTAGTTCACATATTTCTATAGGCTGGCATTCAGTGTTACGACTGATTATGTCAGACAGTATTAATGTGGGTAGTTGACATATTTCTATAGGCTGGCATTTAGTGTTAAGACTGATTATGTCAGACAGTATTAATGTGGGTAGTTAACATATTTCTGTAGGGTGGCATTCAGTGTTACGACTGATTATGTCAGACAGTTTTAATGTGGGTAGTTGACATATTTCTATAGGCTGGCATTCAGTGTTACGACTGATTATGTCAGACAGTATTAATGTGGGTAGTTAACCTATTTCTATAGGCTGGCATTCAGTGTCATGACTGATTATGTCAGACAGTATTAATGTGGGTAGTTAACATATTTCTATAGGCTGGCATTCATGTGGGACAATTAAACAGACTTGTTAACATCCAAAGACATTTCTGTTGTTAGAAGTAATACATTTGATGTTTGCTAATAGGTCCAAATTTGATGAGGATGTGAGGTCAAATGAGGTTGTTGCCAAGGAGATGTGTATGGTGCGGACCAAGCATATCGTCATGGGAATCCTGTCCAGACTAGACCTGTTACTACAGGTGACCATCACCCCACACTACAGTGAGATGATGACCAGGACTGTCTCTCATTACTCAGAAATTCCACAGACAGGTGGGTGCTCCGGTTTGATACTTCCTCTATCTGTTTATAGTCACTGCCGAAGTATGTATCTTTTGTTGTGCCATAACTTACTCTTAGTTATGAAGGAAACATTCTAGGTATAGCCAGAATTCTGAAGTAAGGGTTCTCTGTTTTGTCCCAAGTCTATTATGACTTCTAAAGTAAGTATTCTCTACAGTGGCCATAGCCCACTCTTATTTCAGAATCTGAAGAATATAATATACTACACTGTAATGGAGAATCAAAACTGTGAGATACGATTATTTATGATGAAAACATTATTACAGTATTGCATTTTGTTCTTTACTTTGTGAAGTTATCACAACGTTATGATGCACAGAAATTTTGAAGGAGATCTGTATGTTAGTAAATCTAATTAACATAGCACTTGTTGATTAAGAACAAATATTACATGTCAAGTATTTCTGTAAATATCGAGAAAGATCAGAAACGAAAAACAGAAACAAATAACAGGTGAATTGTTGTAATTTCAGGTGGGTGTGTGAGGTCAGACACTGACATGGCACAGCCAGTCCACGTGTTATCACGGAGCATGTCCGCTCCCACCGGTGTGGAGAGTGTTTACGATGAAACTGTACTTGAAGTTCTCAAGATACGCAGGTAGGTGTCATGTCTGGTCAGCCGTGGTTAACCACAAGGTCTTGGGGTTCCAGAAAACATTTTCACTTGAGAAATGTTATAAGCTGGGGGCAGTCACCATTACCATTTATATCAAGTGTATCACTCACTGATGGAATTGTTTACTGCAACAACAAACTACCCCAGGCCTGTTTATAACACCAATAATACTCATGCACAAGTTCTCCTGTATCCTTTATGTTCACTTCCAATTTTCTAAAGCACTAATATAATGAAAAATAACTGATCAAGATTTGTCTCGCTTTTCAGTAGGAAGCGCCATGGCAAGAGAAAGGGCCCAGCCTCTGTACTCCAGGAACTGGCGGAGGACGATAATAAAGATGTTCCCCCACACGTGGTTCTAGTCGATCAACTCTTCTCCTTTATTGGCAGTGATCCGGAGAAAGCTGTAAGAACCTCAACTACACTGGGCTTTCAAAGTTACTTAAACTTATACTGGAATACTTGTTTGTTTCGCATTTAACCAGTGTTTGATGAAGGACAGTTATAATATTGAGGATATAAACACATATTTTTGTGTATCATAAGTTACCAGTGGGTTTTGCATTTTATAAAAATTTCTCAACCATCATTAAATTTTATTAATGATGTATTGAAAATAAGAAAATAAGTACTCATGGTTAACCTTATTGACCTTTTACAGATTTCCAGTAAGGACTTCCTGTCGGCAGCTCAGACACGCTGGCGTCGTGGAAACACACGTAAACAGGCACTAGTACATATGAAGGAGTTACTGACAGCTGCGTCGCGCGTGGGAGGTGCCACTCACCTGGTGGCTGCTGTCACAGCCGTTTTACAACATGGCCCATGGTATGTATTAGGAATCCAACATCAAAGACTTGCATTACAGATAATTTGATCAACGTTTCCTTTGCAAAGAATTCATTTACATCAGATTAAGTTCTATTGTGCAGAAAATGAAAGTTACTTTGTTATGACAGTTAAGGTGCTGTTTAAATCTGGGTTAACATCAGTAACAAACAAAGTCTCCAGCACAGGATTGATCACATTAACAACAGTCTGAGACACAGGATTGTTCATGTTAAGATATATATGTATAAGTTAACCTATTGCCTATTATTTGAATTAAGTAACATACAGGGGACTGTTTATGTTGACAGTGTTGAGGAGCTGACCTGTGGTGGGATGGTGAACCAGGTGAGAGAGGCATTTGCGGAGACCATGACGTCCGTGGTACAGTTGGCCGCACACTATCCCATAGCCTGCTGTAACAGTATCGGGCTCCTCTGTATCATACCCTACACCAGGTTAGTAACAGTCTGTCTTACATGGTACAGCTGGCCGCACACTATCCCATAGCCTGCTGTAACAGTATCGGGCTCCTCTGTATCATACCCTACGCCAGGTTAGTAACAGTCTGTATTACATGGTACAGTTGGCCACACGCGATCCCATAGCCTGCTGTAACAGTATCAGGCTCCTCTGTATCATTCCCTACACCAGGTTAGTAACAGTCTGTCTTACATGGTACAGCTGGCCACACACTATCCCATAGCCTGCTGTAATAGTATCGGGCTCCTCTGTATCATACCCTACTCAAGGTTAGTAACAGTCTGTATTACATGGTACAGCTGGCCACACCCTATCCCATAGCCTGCTGTAACAGTATCAGGCTCCTCTGTATCATACCCTACACCAGGTAAGTAACAGTCTGTACTACATGGTACAGTTGGCCACACGCTATCCCATAGCCTTCTGTAACAGTATCAGGCTCCTCTGTATCATACCCTACACCAGGGTAGTAACAGTCTGTATTACATGGTATAGCTGGCCGCATGCTATCCCATAGCCTGCTGTAACAGTATCGGGCTCCTTTGTATCATAACCTACACCAGGTTAGTAACAGTCTGTATTACATGGTATAGCTGGCCGCATGCTATCCCATAGCCTGCTGTAACAGTATCGGCCTCCTTTGTATCATACCCTACACCAGGTTAGTAACAGTCTGTATTACATGGTATAGCTGGCCGCATGCTATCCCATAGCCTGCTGTAACAGTATCGGGCTCCTTTGTATCATACCCTACACCAGGTTAGTAACAGTCTGTATTACATGGTACAGCTGGCTGCACACTATCCCATAGCCTGCTGTAATAGTATCAGGCTCCTCTGTATCATACCCTACACCAGGTTAGTAACAGTCTGTATTACATGGTACAGTTGGCCACACACAATCCCATAGCCTGCTGTAACAGTATCAGGCTCCTCTGTATCATACCCTACCCCAGGTTAGTAACAGTCTGTATTACATGGTGCAGTTGGCCACACACAATCCCATAGCCTGATGTAACAGTATCAGGCTCCTCTGTATCATACACTACTCCAGGTTAGTAACAGTCTGTATTACATGGTACAGCTGGCCACACCCTATCCCATAGCCTGCTGTAACAGTATCAGGCTCCTCTGTGTCATACCCTACACCAGGTTAGTTACAGTCTGTATTACATGGTACAGCTGGCCACACGCTATCCCATAGCCTGCTGTAATAGTATTGGGCTCCTCTGTATCATACCCTACTCCAGGTTAGTAACAGTCTGTATTACATGGTACAGCTGGCCGCACACTATCCCATAGGCTGCTGTAACAGTATCGGGCTCCTCTGTATCATACCCTACGCCAGGTTAGTAACAGTCTGTATTACATGGTATAGCTGGCCGCATGCTATCCCATAGCCTGCTGTAACAGTATCGGGCTCATCTGTATCATACCCTACTCCAGGTTAGTAACAGTCTTTATTACATGGTACAGCTGGCCGCACACTATCCCATAGCCTGCTGTAACAGTATCGGGCTCATCTGTATCATACCCTACTCCAGGTTAGTAACAGTCTTTATTACATGGTACAGCTGGCCGCACACTATCCCCTAGCCTGCTGTAACAGTATCGGGCTCCTCTGTATCATCCCCTACTCCAGGTTAGTAACAGTCTGTATTAGTTAAGGCCTGTATTTTCTCAACTCTGATTGATTAATGTGGTCATGTATGAGAGAATATGCAGTACTTTACTTTTGACAATTTTCACTTTTGTTCGTCTTGTGTAATGTTAAAAAGCAACAAACATTCATAATTAAGTATTTTAGTGATAATGTGGCTATATCACCATATAATTGTCGGTCTCGGACACTCTCCATGCGTACAGCAACTGTCGTAGATGCAAGATGGACAAATATTTACAAAGATGTGTGAACTACATTTGTGTCCAAGACAAAGGAAAACTGTTTGTACCTAACTAAAGAGACAACTGCTAATTTAGATGTCGATATATACTGTTTTCAGGGCAGAGGAGAAGTGCCTGGTGCGGTCTGGGCTGGTCCATCTGTTAGACAAGCTATGTAGTCTAGCCAATCACAGGACAGACAGCTCCAACACGGAGACCCAGTCGACCAATCAGAAGGTGTCTGCCATGGCATGGGCAGGCTTCCAGGTCCTCGCCAACCGCTGTGTCATGTGGGAGATAGAGGATGGTAAGGACTTCTACAGCTAGTTCGTTGAGGACTTATGTTTGAAGTTAAGAGATTGGAAGATGATGGAATTTAAGGATGTATATAATGGTGTAGAGATAAGGGAAGATAAGAACTTTTGTGTGAAAGATTTTCCTTTAGCTATGAGATGACGGGGTATTAACGGATGCAGATAGAGGAAGATAGAACGTAAGGGTGAGGTCAGGGGATTAATGGAGATGGTTAATATATGATGAAGGGATGTATCATTGATGGGATGATTGGGATATGTATTTCAGGTAAGAACATGGTTTGAGATATGGTTTTTATTCGCCAGTAGAACGACGGGACGCATTATGTTATCATGCGAGCGTTCGGGCGGGCCATTATCCGCCTGTTATTAGGGAGTTATGGCCCTTTATAGAATTGCCGTAACAGTTTCCGCTCAATAACTTCAGTAATTTTGAATAGATTCATTTCAAACTTCATAGTAAGGTTCATTTCTATGAAAGCTTGCGATAACCAAAATTATTTGTCGATTATTTGCAGAGTTATGGCCCTTTGTAGAATTGCCGAAACAGTTTCTGTTCAATAACTTTAGTAATTTTGAGTGGATTAATTTCAAACTTGGTAGGAAGGTTCATTGCCATGAAAACTCTGACAAGTTCGATAACCAAAATTCTTTGGCGGTTTTTTATGCAGTTATAGCCCTTTGTAGAATTGACAAAACAGTTTCTGCTCAATAGCTTCAGTAATTTTGAATGGATTCATTTCAAAGCTTGCACAAGTTTGATAACCATTATCCGCCTGTTATTAAGGGAGTTATGGCCCTTTATAGAATTGATGTAACACTTTCCGCTCAATAACTTCAGTAATTTTGAATAGATTTATTTCAAACTTCATAGGAAGGTTAATTTCTATGAAAGCTTGCACAAGTTCGATAACCATTAGCCGCCTGTTATTAAGGGAGTTATGGCCCTTTATAGAATTGACGTAACACTTTCCGCTCAATTACTTTTGAATTGATTCATTTCAAACTTCAGCCATAATTTACGGCCTTTTGTAGAATTGTCGGAACACAATTTCTGCGCAATAACTTTATGCACTTATGGCCCTTTGTGGCAAACTGCACATTCCACATCCGACGGGCATATCATGTACCTTGGCGGAGCTCTTATTACTAGTGTTTGTTAGAAGTTAAAAAGGTTATACACACATGTATGTGGATTATTTTTTAATAATAATAATCATTAGTAAACAATTTTCATCTTGTTTTTGTCCCTGTTCAGGGCTACACCTGGAGCAGTTAGAACACTCTGGTCTGGCTCGCCAGGTGTCTGTGTTACTGACCAACCACCTGGCCCGCGCCACCGAGTGTATCGGTAATGAGGCTGCTGGGACAGAGGCCCTACAGGACGTTCTCAGTCTCCTCAACAACCTGTCTCGTAGTCGCATGGGCCGAGCTATCCTCAGCCAGCCTGCATGTGTCTCCAAACTTCTATCACTGCTGCTCGACCAGAGGTAGGATTTAAAAAGAGATGTATCTTCTAATCTATTAGTTTTAAATACAGGGGCACCATAAAATCTTTATAGATGGTCCACACAACAAATCATGTGATAAATTCAACAAGATTATGTTTACATATTAGTTACAATGCTTAATAAAGCTTATAATCAACAGATATCGTATTGTCACATTATCAATGCTAACTTTAAATTTAGAGAATTTCCCTATGAATACATTAGATCTAATATTAATGAATTTGTATAAATTGTCAATTTATCGATTCCTCCTGATAAATGAAACTTTCTGTTGTAGGCCGTCGCCGAAGCTGGTGCTGATCATATTACAGCTGTGTCGTGTGGCATTACCGCTGATGAGTACACTAGACTGTGAGACGGTAGAACTGCCCGCCTGGGGTCAGCACCTCTACTCCAGCCACTGGAGCACAGCCAAGTCCATATCTGACCCTCCCGCTAAGATTGTCAGCCTCTTACTGGCCAAACTCGGAGACTTCCTTGTCCCAGGTCTGATTTAACTCCTAAGTAAAAGATTAATGATTATCTCATGAAGGAAATGAAGTCGTCATTAATAATACTTTCTGTATTTTGTCAAGGTTTGGTTATATACTTTAGTTAGTTAATTGAATTAGTATGCACTTATAAAAAAATACAAAATTAATTTGCAATGTACAGTTTACTGATTACTAGGTACTGATATTACAAATGTTATGTATTGATAGTTTTACATCAAAGGACAATGTATCAGTCTTACTTGGTTGATCTGAAGAATGTATAAAATGTATGAAACATATGGCATTGATATAAAGTTTCTGTTACTAAGTCTGGTCCTGTACAGGTTTTATCTCGGTTTGCCTATAACTTTCATTTTCCCTGTGTGGTATTAGGTGATCATGCGACCATCTGTAGTCGACGCCCATCTACAGACAACCTCCACCGTGGGGGCTCCAACGGGGGGATGGACAAGGACAAGGTGGAGGACAGTGATATACAGGCTGGAAGGCTGTCAGTGTTTATACACAAACGAGAGGACCAACTGTCTCACGAGGTCATACAGCCACTGCTCAGGTAGGTTAAGGTCATAGTCTTCCATCAGGTAGGTCAAGGTTATACAGTCTTTACTTAGGTAGGTCAAGGTCATATAGCTGTCCTTACGTAGGTCAAGATCATTCAAACCTCTCCTCAGGTTTGTTGAGGACACATAGCAATTTTTTTAAGTAGGTCAAGGCCATAGACCCCTGCCAAGGCTCTGTGATGATACACAAAAGGAATGTAACTTTCTCGGGTAGGTCATCCTTTGGAAGTTACATCATTTATAATGATGACAATAGGCAAGCAATAAGTAACATTGGTGAGAGATAACGATTGACCATTAATCTATTTTTTTAAATTATTTTTTTCCAGCTCGGACAATCGTCCATTCAGACTTGGTGGTACTGCCAACATGGAGAGAGTAGTGCGTATGGACAGAGAAATGACAAAGGTAGGTCATCACAAATTGTTCCTATCCACCAGTGTTACATCTATGTTACACAATAACTTATAAGATAATAGTTGATAGCAAATATGAATATTTTTAGCTCACCTGGCAAAAGGCCATTATGAGCTTGATGCATTGACTAGGTGTCAATTACCTGTCCATCTGTCATCAACATCCACATTGTTAACTTCTTTAGAAGGCCTAGCTAGAGTCATACATTTTGCATGTATTTTGCTAATATAAAGCACTATCTAATTTGGTCAAATAAATCACCTTGATCTACTTTTAAGGTCACAGGTGTCAAGTAAGACTATAAAAAAACTCTTTTAAAGAATCATGATAACTAGATTGATATTGAGTGTATCACTCATCTATATGGAATGATAGGAATATGTATTTCAAATTCATAGTTTTTATCTTTTTCATGTTACCTCCTAGTGATCTAGTTATTGTGGCTTAAAATATATTGATGAAACCAGGTGATCTTTCCCCATGGGCCTCTTTTTCTATTCTATAGAAAATTTAATTAAAAATAATTCATATTCCTTATTAATATTGAACTGTTGTAATAATATTTCTGTTGTAATATCCCTCTGCAGTATGGTAAGGCGGAGGTAACAACAGAAGACGCTGGTAGTGCCTTAAAGAAGGCAGCCAAGTGGGCCCAGATGGGGTTGGTGGTGTCCACGGGGCCGCCCATAGACACTCAGCAGCCGGAGCCACCCACAGGGGACAAGAAGAAGACAGCCTTCGAGGTGGTGTGTAGGGAGAGGAACTCTGAACTAGCCAGGTATGGAGTAGGTTTGTGTGTTAGCCTTCGAGGTGGTTTGTAGGGAGAGGAACTCTGAACTAGCTAGGTATGGAGTAGGTTTGTGTGTTAGCCTTCGAGATGGTGTGTAGGGAGAGGAACTCTGAACTAGCACGGTATGGATTAGGTTTGTGTGTTAGCCTTCGAGGTGGTGTGTAGGGAGAGGAACTCTGAACTAGCCAGGTATGGAGTAGGTTTGTGTGTTAGCCTTCGAGGTTGTGTGTAGGGAGAGGAACTCTGAACTAGCCAGATATGGAGTAGGCGTTTGTCCCTCTCTAGGTGTGTGGTATAGTGTTAAAGTATCAAAATAGATGTAATATATTATTCAACGTAAATATTCAAGTGATTATAATTTGATATTATAAACTCATGTTGTATGTTATTTTCTTGATTGTTTCCACAGAACTGACCCGGTGAGACCATTTATCAGTGGACATGTGGCCAACAACATGGCTGCAGAAGTGATTGCTCTCCTACATGGGTTGCTGACTGCTCCCCAGACCAACACTGCACAGTCCTGGGCAGAGGCTGTACAAAGGGTAGGTGTCATAATAATAATTGGAGGTTCTTTTATACTGCTTTATCACAACCTAGTTCTAAGCTTGTCTCAAAGCGGTTCACAAATTATTATCCGTTGTTATAGGGCCTTTGCAACCAGCCAATATCTTACTCAACTCCCTGGGGAGCATACAGCTGGTGCTGCCATATCAGCGCTCACAGCTAGCATTCAACAATTCTAGCACTGCCCAAACACGTACTCATTTACAGCTGAGTAGACTGTAACAAGCGAATTATAGTATTTCTCTCAAAGATACAATGCAGTGCTGTGCCATGATTCGAACCCGCAACCTTTCGGCAGGAGCCGCGTCCTACCACTAGACTACCGTGCCTCCTAAGTTGACTATAAAACAATAATTGTAAAATTATATGTAAAAAAATACTAGGTAAATTATGCAGCCTAACATAGTCGCTGTTTAAAAAAAAAAAAAAGTGATCTTTGGAATCACAAAATCTAGAAATTAGATTTCTGTATGTTGTGGTTGCATGTCTTTTTATTAATAGTTATTACTGTGGACTAGATTATGCATACATAGAAAACATAAATTGATAAGGTTGTTCTCAGTGACCTAGTTACTGGTGAGTGATATCTGTATGTTTGTTGACAGGTGTTGAACAACTCACTGACATGTCTGCCTCTGCTGTATTCTGGTCTGGACGCCCTGAGCTCCCCACGGACCAGCTGTAAACAGCTCATGTCCATGGCTAAGCTTGCCAATGCTGCTCTGTGTGCTCTCGGCGGCTTCAAGGAGATCATCAAACCGGGCTGTAATGCCAAGGTCAGTACATACATATGTCAAAAAGTCTGGTCCCAGATTATTTTGGTCTAAGGATCTCTCATGATTCAATAAAGAAAAGTAAACGAGAATCAAAAATAAACTTATTGTTCTGATGTATTCCTTATATTTTAAGTCACCTAAGATATACCTGTTGTGACAAATGTACATGTATTTTGTATTCCTACAGGGTTAGGGTTGGGGTTTTGATGAACTCAATTTGTCAAATTTTTCTGTGTTAACATAAATGTTGATCATTACATTTTTTCTAACCTGTCTAGGTGGTAGGTGCAGGTATTCACAATACAACGGGCACTGTACTGAGTGTGTCGGAACAGACTGGCATGGCCACCCTTCAACTCGACACAGACCCCAACCTTATCTACGCTCCTCGCTACAGCGACACGATACAGGTCCCTGTCACCCGACTACAGCCAATCAGAAACGAGGTAAGAAAATATCCATTTACAGCTGATGGCAAGAATTTAGGGAAATCTGCTAGTTAAGTCAATAAGGTACAATGTCAGGAAGTAAAATGAAGATGACGCTGTGATATGTAAATATTTAAAAAGAAATTTTGAATTCATTAAAAGAAATCTGTCAAACAAATAATACAATTTTCTATCAAATTATAAATAATAGTAAGAGTACTTTAAAAGAACTACTGTATAGTGCTTTAAATTCGCGGGGTCAATATTTCGCGTGGGTTAAATTTCGCTGTGCATCCGAATCCCATGTGTCGTGCAAACTGTTTTGAGGGTCATCATTTAAGGGTTAAACCTCGAAATACAGGTAAACCGTTTGAAAACACTGATCCCGAGCGTCGTCATCCGCCAGTGACTTCACTCCAAAGAAAATCAAATGTTTATGTACCTTTGTAGGAGTAGACTGTAATCACCTACTGACTGTACACATAAATACATTGTGACCACTTATATGAAAGTGTTGTTTTTACATGGACTGCCCAGTTGTCCGATGATAATCTGATTTGAGTTCATTGAAGCTTGCATAACAACATGTTGTGATAAGGTCCGTTTAAGGGGTTAACATTTTTGATAATTTGCTAGTGTTTAGAATTCACGGATATTAATCAAAGCGCGAATATAGCGAATTAGAAAAACCCGCAAAATATAACCACTTTACAGTATAAATTTTTCTGATATTTTCCAGATCTACACTTCCCACCAAGTCCCGGTAACAGAAGCAGTTGTCATGGCAATCAAAGCCATATTACTGCCCCAGGACGACAACCAATCCCTGATGCAGCAGGCATTGCCCATCAATGGGGATGGAAACAGTCTGAACAACGAGACGTGCCGGGTCGTGGCAGAGCTACAGACCAGGGCCTGCATGGTGCTAGCTTCCTACCTTCAGGACATTGACTTTACCAAGGAGTTTATTCAGCACTGTGGCTCCACCATAGACGTACTGAAGTCCCTCGCCAAAGACTGCAGCACAGGTAGGTCTTCTACTGGACCCCCAGTCCTAGGGCGTCCTTCCACACAGAGAAATCTGTTCATATGGTGACTTCCACTTTAAGATAGATCTTCTACTCATTAGTGGGCCTTCCAATCATATGTGGCCTCATAACTGAGCCCTTCACTCATATTGAGACTATCTACTCCAATCTTTAGCTGTCAATGCTATAAACAAACCCACATTAAACCTATCATATCACCATGTTAACATCCATAATTATAAGGAAGAATTTTGCAGCTCTTTAGTTTTGGCAAAATGATGAAAAAACTAATGCATTTTGATAATTATGTGACCATTTTCAGGTGACAGACTGCCGGTGATAGAGTCACACTGTACACGTCTGAGGCTGCTTTACCGTGACTGTGCTAAACCTCCGCCACCACCAAGTAAAGTGGACACTAGAACAGTAAGTATTCATATACCTGTATCTATACTTAAATCATGACTGTTAAACCTCCGCCACCACCAAGTAAGGTGGACACTAGAACAGTAAGTATTCATATACCTGTATCTGTACTTAGATCATGACTGCTAAACCTCCGCCACCACCACCAAGTAAGGTGGACACTGGAACAGTAAGTATTCATATACCTGTATCTATACTTAGATCATGACTGTGCTAAACCTCCACCACCACCAAGTAAGGTGGACACTAGAACAGTAAGTATTCATATACCTGTATCTATACTTAGATCATGACTGTGCTATACCTCCGCCACCACCAAGTTAGGTGGACACTAGAACAGTAAGTATCTGAACACCAGTCGTGTGTTATATGAATCTTGAAAATATATCTGCTTATAAGACTTATATTTTAACCTTTTGTTACTAAAAAACATTCCGAAGTACCTATCCTGTGTTACTATAGTTAGTGTTACCCTGTGTTACTATAGTTAGTGTTACTCTGTGTTACTCTATGTTACCCTGTGTTACCCTGTGTTACTATAGTTAGTGTTACTCTGTGTTACCCTGTGTTACCCTGTGTTACCCTGTGTTACTGTTTTTGCTACAGAACAAGGAGATGATGTGGGATGCCGTGAGGACCTACCCCCCTGTCAGGGCATGTGTCTTCTCCTCAGGAATGACTGGTATCACCTTCCTGGGTGACCCTAACACTGGCAGTGGCCTACCCAGGGGCACACTGCTATATGCCAACTTGCCAATCCCCCTACAGGTAAGGTGTGAATATAATAAAACAAATTGTATGAAATCAACATTACAGTTAAGATGGTACTATTAAAGAAAAAATCCATAAAGTAATAATTTTGGGTTACAAGTACAATTAAATAGATTAAGACGTCGGAACAATGAATTAGGTCTGATAAGTTGTATGTTTTACTTCCTTTGACACTGTTGTGCGACTGTTGCCTGACACTATTGTGTGACGGTTGATAGGCACCAGCCTTTTACTGGGAGCTGGAAGTGTGTTCATTTGGGGACAGCCAGGAAGAAGGAGGGGCTATTATATCATTTGGATTTGCCCCCTCTGCTGAGAAGAAAGATGGTGCCTGGACAAATCCTGTTGGTACCTGTCTCTGTCTCAAGTAAGTAGTTGGATTTCCTTATACTTACAGAGAACGTCTAGGTTAACCTTACATCATGTGATCATTAACTAGCATGAAAATTATATTGTACTGAGCTCCTATATAAACCTTACATTTATTGTCATCGTTTACTAACTTGAAGATTGTCTGTACTATGTAGGCTAATTCTATCAGGTAAATCACAGGTCCTTTGATACCTATTTACTATACCCTAGTTAGCTAGATCGTTCACTATAAATGAGTTTCATTTCCCCAGTAACGGTAAGGCTGTACACTACAATGGTGCTAGTCTGCTTCAATGGCGGAGTGTCCGATTGGATGTATTCCTCAATGCTGGGGACATCGCAGGGATTGGCTGGGAGAGGACGGGTGATGCCCCTGCCCATGGGCAGACTCCCCGGGGACGGGTTTACTTCACACACAATGGTCAACGGCTGAATGCCTTCATGGACGACGTGTCAGGGGCCATGTATCCTGTCGTACACATACAGAAGAAGGTGAGACTTACTACCTCAAAGTGTAACAAATATTTAAACTGGATCTTGTTGTGTCCCAAAGTGTGTCGGAATAAACAGGTTTCACTATACAAATGTTTGTTGTTCTCAACTTCACCTTTACATGATATACACAAAAAGTCACAAATTTCTACTCATATTTTTAAGAAAAACGAATGTAAAAATTGACATGATTATCGTTAAGCTTGCGAATCTGTACCTTGATGACAAAGTATGAAGATATGAATCATTGCATCATTATTTATCTGTTCGACCAGAATACCAGAATCCGTGCCAACTTTGGAGCACGACCGTTTGCGTTCGCTGAAGGCCAGCAGCACAGAGATGCTGCAGATGCTGCTGATGATCTGACGAGGGAGATGAGGGAAAGCTTCGGGGTACTGCCCTTCCACTCCGCCTCTGACAGCGACAGTGACAGTAGTATCCCAAACACACCTGAAGCTGCTGCAGCAGAGGTGGTCAAATCACCAACTGGTCCACCTTCTAAGGTGGCTGTCTTACCCAAACCCCAGAAAGGTATGAAGGATAAAAAGATGAGATTGTTGAAATCTTGAAGAAAGGAGATCAGTTATAACAAAACAAATCATAATCAGGGTTTGATTCAAAAGTAACTCAATTTTTTCTGGAATGTTGATATTTGATACCAGTTGTTACTGTTGAGCAAATTGTTTTAATTTATGAATGAGGCAGCAAAAAAAGATTAATTTGAATGAAAATCAAACTTTCCTTATAGAATACGAGCCTGAAGGCTGTCTGCAGTATAAGTTGTTCAGTAGTTACGACAACTTTGTGACGACGGGTCCAGACCAGCGGGCTAACCCCGCCCCCCAGGATGACGAGTCGGATGAGGATGTTGTGGAGGATGACCAAGGATCTGAGGATCACTACGCTCTCCTTGTCAAGGCGTGGGAGCAGAAAGTGTTCCCTGTCATAAGACGACGCTTCAGGAATGAGGCTGAACGTAAAGATGGACTAGAACAAATCAGGGGAGCTCTACAGTTAGGTATGTACACATAGTATGTTAGTCAAATCAGGGGAGCTCTACAGTTAGGTATGAACACATAGTATGTTAGTCAAATCAGGGGAGCTCTACAGTTAGGTGTGTACACATAGTATGTTAGTCAAATCAGGGAGCTCTACAGTTAGGTATGTACAGATGGACTAGAACAAATCAGGGGAGCTCTACAGTTAGGCATGTACAGATGGACTAGAACAAATCAGGGGAGCTCTACAGTTAGGCATGTACAGATGGACTAGAACAAATCAGGGGAGCTCTACAGTTAGGCATGTACAGATGGACTAGAACAAATCAGGGGAGCTCTACAGTTAGGCATGTACAGATGGACTAGAACAAATCAGGGGAGCTCTACAGTTAGGCATGTACAGATGGACTAGAACAAATCAGGGGAGCTCTACAGTTAGGCATGTACACATAGTATGTTAGTCAAATCAGGGCGCTCTACAGTTAGGTATGTACAGATGGACTAGAACAAATCAGGGGAGCTCTACAGTTAGGTATGAACACATAGTGTGTTAGTCAAATCAGGGGAGCTCTACAGTTAGGTATGTACAAATAGTATGTTAGTCAAATCAGGGGAGCTCTACAGTTAGGTATATACACATAGTATGTTAGTCAAATCAGGGAGCTCTACAGGTAGGTATTTACACATAGTATGTTAGTCAAATCAGGGGGCTCTACAGTTAGGTATGTACACATAGTATGTTAGGCAAATCAGGGGAGCTCTACAGTTAGGTATGTACAAATAGTATGTTAGTCAAATCAGGGGAGCTCTACAGTTAGGTATGAACACATAGTATGTTAGTCAAATCAGGGGAGCTCTACCGTTAGGTGTGTACACATAGTATGTTAGTCAAATCAGGGAGCTCTACAGTTAGGTATTTACACATAGAATGTTAGTCAAATCAGGGAGCTCTACAGTTAGGTATGTACACATAGTATGTTAGGCAAATCAGGGGAGCTCTACAGTTAGGTATGTACAAATAGTATGTTAGTCAAATCAGGGGAGCTCTACAGCTAGGTATGTACACATAGAATGTTAGTCAAATCAGGGGAGCTCTACAGTTAGGTATGTACATAAAATATACATTAACATAAGATATCCAGGACATTGTTCGTTGTCAATTAAGAAATTTTGGTTTGTTGGTTGGTTGGTTGAAGGGTTTTGCGCCTACATGATTCCGCCCTTACATGTTTCATCTCACTGACGAAAGTCGGTGTTCATTTAAGAAAGATTTGGAATGCATTATATATATGTTCTTCATTATAAATATTTATCAGTCAGAAAGTCAACGGACCAAGTTCCTGCTACACATGGTTATGTGTTGGTTAAGTCGAGAGATTTAAACAGGTGTGTGTTTGTGAACAGGTATGACCGACATAGCTCGACAGACGGTGGAGTTTCTGTATGAGGAGAACGGAGGGATCCCGCGGGACCTACACCTGCCAACGATTGATGACATCAAGGAGGACCTGGCTAAATTCACCATAGAGCGAGTTAAGAAGGGGACAGCCGTGGTGATACGGAACACTGCGGAAACAAGCACAGCTGGAACCACAGTCCTACCAAAGTTTGCTGTCAGGAGCATGCTGAGGACGTTTGGTCTCACCGGCACTGTGTTGGATGTAGATAATGTAAGCAGGACCATGTTTCATCTATGGGTGGTGGTGGAAACTTTCTGGTCTGACAGAAAAATCTTATTTTGCTTATGTTTTTATGCATATTAAAGAATCTGAGAAAACTATAACTGGTAATACATTTTACAGATATTGGAAGATTTTTTGAGGTTTGCTTGTAAACATAAGTATTTGAACAGTGAATTATTGACCAACTTGGGCTTTTTTACTTTCAGTCTAATGAGCTGGTACAGGTGGAGACGTATCTGAGGAGTGAAGGGGTACTAGTGCGGTTCTGGTACCCTATCGACATGCTAGAACGCCCTGCCCAGGGGCTACGACGCTCCACCATCACCGGGGGCCAGATAATGGACACTAGTAATGTCCATATTCACTGTGAACTGTTGCGAAGTGAAGCCGTACTGGTACGCATGTACTGTAGGACTGCTCTCCTCAAACTGATCGATCACTGTAACTCGCCGGCCATGGAGCTGGGCTCGTGCTCGGCCAGTCTGGGCTCAGGAATGGCAGCCAGTGCTGCCCTGCTGCAGCAGCTGGACATTGAGAACCTACAGCTGCTGTCTAATGAGCTGCTGTGTGCGCCCCAACCACACGGCACCATCAAGGCCTCGTCCCTCACCATGGCATCTTCACTCCAACAGTGCCTCTCCAGCCAGTCTTGTCTGCTTACTCGCCTTCTCTACTGCGATGAGGACAAGCTCAAGCGCGAGCTCGCTGTGGCCATCGCTCGGGCAGCCAATCAGGGCGAAGATTATCTAATAGAACTGACCAATCAGCTCTGCTTATGCTTACAGGTAAATGAATTTATCCACTGAATATTCATTAAGTAATTCATGAACAGTAAATCTGACATGTTAATAATTCTATATGTAAACTTTTTGAAAAAGAAAATGTTCATCTGTAAGTATCATAGCTGTTAACCCTCCCTCATTTTGACCCAAATTTAGCCAATATCCCTCTAAACTCCCTCATTCAAGTCCAAACCCACACAAACTCAAAATTTACATCCTGTTGTCAAATGATCTCCTAGTTACTACAGAGTGTGTGTAATGATCGTAACAGGTGTGTCTGAATCAAATTAATGCGTATTGGAGTTATTTTGATACATATAAAGGGAAAGATAAATTGAGCAAAGCAGTTTTAGTCTCCTTTCATGCACTTTCTCCCTCATTGGAAATATGGAATGAGGGAGATCTCCCTCATTGAAGGTTTCAAAGGTTTACGCCTATGAAGTATTTGATAAAATGTGAAATGATTTTTACAGACTTCCCCAGAGATGTTCCCTTATGAGGAATTCCCAGTCACTGAGGTCAAGGTCAACACAGACATTAACTTTCCCGGGGCTGCCTGTCTGGTGGTGTCCTGTAAAACTGACCTTAAAGCTGCAAAGAAGGAGTAAGTACACCAATAGACCTTCACTCCCTTACGAAAACTGCAAAAGTTGAAGATGAAATCATGATCTTCTGAGGGATTGAAATAGCTGTATCTAGTGTTAATCTTAGAATGATGAAAGGCATCTAAACACACCTCAGCAGAGTAATAGCCACACAGGAGCTGAGTATGGATGCCATAATAATGCTTTATCGACGGTAGCTCAATTACAGGTAGTTGCAAAACTATTCTCCCTTGAGGCCTTCTCTACAATCTACGACAATAATATATACAAAGTAAAAGTAATATAATTAAAAGCCAACAAAAGACTTGCAATAAATTGATCCTATTGTATGCTTACAGTCACTTTATTAGCTATTAGAGATATTTCTGGAGGATCAGATGGGTGATTATCAAAATACATATGTTTCATTTTAGCCACATGTTTTTACTGCAAAGTGGAAGCATGGGCAATTATTAGAATAAGGACGATATGTTAAGATAAACATTCTTGAAAAAATCAGTTATCCATGTTATATACATATGTTTAACTCTGGTTCCCTATGTGACAGACCTTTGTGTTTATTTCAGTACATCTCTATACAAATCTCCTTGGGCACGAGTGTTCTCCTACACAGGTCATCGTGTCAAGAAAACAGGTCAGGCCACCAAACAGGAAGTGGTTAGTTACCCGAGAGACACCTCCTCCACAAGTAATCAGAACGAACAGTACACTCCAGCTATAGTACCATGTGACCGTATACACCTGAGAGTGGGTGTGTCTCCACCCCCGGGGGTGCTTCTCACAATTCATGCCCTGCCCCCACAGTTCCTACTGGCTGTGGCCTACATAGAGACATTGATATCAGACAGGTATGGGTGTGGCACACGAAGCTGCGGGCCACAGGACAACATGTCGCCCGAGGTCAGTAACAAACCTCTGGCCGGCAAGGACATGCATGAGAGTATGTGGAGTGTAGATAACATTGTTATAACTCCTACAGTGTTCAAACACATCATAGAACTTGTGTGTCGCCACCTGTGGACCAGCAACATCCCGGCCCTTATCAAGGAGTACATGTTCCACCTACTGGCTCAGTCTCTCCGAATCCTTCACTACAGTGAGGGAACCAATGGGTGCTCCCTCCCTACACACCATCCCCACCTGAACCCCATCCAGGGGGTATTGATCCAACTCCAGGCGGAGCTTCAGCGTCTGTATGAGGAGGAGACAAAAGGCTGGCCTTCAGCCACTCACTCCAGTGGACAGGGCATCGGGATTGGCGTCAGTGACAAAGGTCGTTTCTCTACCTACTTCCAGGGTTTGCTGGAGGTCAATCTTGCCATAGCAGAGGTCAAACACAAAGACAATCCAAAATCTCCATTTGGTCCCTCATCATCGTCAACAGAGGCTGGAGCCTCTAGCTCACTACACACATTAGGCAGTCCCACTTCGTCAGCCAAGAAGAAGAAGCTGAAGGCAAAGCGCGATAAGGAGCGGGGTGGAGCGGTGCCGAAGAGGACCGGGGGAAGTCCTCGAGTGAGTGAAAGTGACATTTCTACACTAAGTACTAGTGCATCATCTCTGTCCACTGCTGAATCATCTTCCTCCACTAGTACCGCCTCTGTTACACCCAGTACCAGTGGAGGTAGTCAGTCCGGCACCAAGCCGGAGGACATGTTGTGGTTCCACCGTGCTCTCACAGTCTCCCAGATCCTCCGCTGTCTGGCGTTCCGGGAGCAACACGGTGAGGGTGCCCTGGCTGCGGCAGTGTCTGACGCTGCTCAGGTGCTCAATTCTCCTTCTGCCCACAACCGTCTCCTAGTCATCACTGGCATCAACAGTGAGGTGGATGCTGAGGTCATAAAGTGTGTGATACGCCGGGCCAGTAAACCCAGTGGGGGTGTTTATAAGGACGAGATATTTTTACCTACAGGTCGCCCTGAGAGGAAACTGCCTGATGCTGAGTTTCTACCAGTTACGAGTGATTCCTCCAAACAGACAAAGGAAGAGGAAAAGACAGAAAAGCCAGAGACATCTACAAAGGAAGTGAGCAATATAAAACCTGAACAGGTGCGAGGGTACGCTGTGATAAGTGTGTTGTCTCGCGCAAAGGTGGAGGTGGTACAGAAGGCTCTGCTGAAGTGTAAGTCCCTTGTAGTGACTTCCCTGCCTGACCAGGAGGAAGTACAAGATGTCCCTGAGGAGATTCTGTCTGTAGACACTGTCAATGCCTCCCTCATCGCCGAGCGGGAAGGTAACGACGCCTTGGAGCACTACCTACAGTACATGTTTTTTAACGGTGACGACCAGAAGGAGATTTCTGACGCGGCCACTCTCGCCCTGATAGAAATCTTCCACAGCTGTTTTATCATGGAGCAGAAACACGGTACCGGAGAGTACAAGCAAGAGTCTGGCTTCATCTGTTTGGGTAAGGACCAGATCCTACAGAACATGCCAGAGAATCTCCTTTGTGTCTTCTTCAATCACATCAAACCACCAAAGAAATCCCTCGCCGAGCAGGTGATGCAGGTGCTGCGTCGTTATGGAATGATGAAATCCCCTGACAAAGAAATGTAAGTTTGTCATTTATTTTGAAGACAGTTATTAGCCTACTTCAGTTGATGCTTAAAGATATACACTGTAAAAAGGTATACTAGTTACAAAACTATAAATTATGTATGTAGCAGTAGTTCATTTGTGTTGATAACTCTGCATGTTTTATCTGAGGCGTTGTAGAGCTGATATTGATTTAAAATTGGATTCTCCACTTCATTATATTTGATTGATTAGGATTTTTAAGTAGCTGGCTTAGTTAAATCACTATCAGTGATCACCTTTCATGCTATTTATACAGCCCATTCAATTAAGTGAATGATAAAATATATATTTATTACATTTTTGCCAGTGAAATATCGGATTCTATCAACTTGATAAAACTGATATCTTTCACACTGTGACAAATATCAAAAGTGGTATTTTCACACTGTGAAAATATCACTTTTTGGTATTGACAAATCATAACAGTATCTTCTTTTCGCTGAATTCAAAGGCAACAATTTTTTTGTTCAAATTCAAATGAAGCGACGGTAGAATAAGTGGTTGTTATGGTAAATGTTTGGTACACACACTTAAGTATTTACATGAATATACAATTAATTCATAAGCAATCACACCAGATAATAGCAGAAAACGTCTGAATTGTGTTGAGTATCCCATTCAAAATGGCGCTCAGCCTTGTTGTTAAGTGTTAATTATTACACTTCTGATTCCCGCCCTTTTATGCTTTTAAAATGTAATAAATAGAAAATTTAAATATATTTCATGAGTGTGGCCAATATTTTGTTATGTTTCACTCGTGCTGCGCACTCGTGAAAAATATCAAAATATTAGCCACACTCGTGAAATATATTTGTTATTACTGAAGACACCATTAAATATCCTCTATATATTTTGGATGTCTATATTAACTGTACTAAGCTGAGGAAAGGTAAAACCTGAGAACCTTTGAATTTGAAAGTAAACATATCCTATACCACACAAAGAGACTGTGTGCTACTGGGTAGCAGAAACCCATCTTTAATATATGGTATTCATGTAATATCCTTTATAAACTATCAACTAAATCTGAAACTATTTTTATTTTCTAGGACTGATGTTTAGAATTTTCTTAGATTGGTGGTACTTGGTGTATTTGTGGAAAATTCATAAATTCTTTGTATTGGAAAATTAACCATAAGGCTTCATATCTTTTCCAAAGTGAAATATTGACTGTAGTAAGTATTGTTTACCATGTTGTTTTACAGGTCTCCTGGTGCTGATAAGAATGGGAAGGGAAAGTCAGCTAAGAAGAGTCCTCGTTCCTCAAAGGAGAAGCTTGTGATGGGGGTTGTGGAAAAGTAGGTAGACTGTTTGTTAGATATTAAGTTTACCCTCTTACTGCAGTGGTTTCTATACTGAATAAATATGCTGAAAATGTTTCTGAATATGTTACTGACTTTAAGACAAGTAAATCCAAGTCAGATCTCTGTTGTTTAATTCATTATTACTGTAAATTCATAAATTTTTGTGGGACATTAAATTTCGTTTATTTCGTGGATAACAAAAATCCACGAAATTGAATCCACACGAAAACATCAATTTGGTATGATATAGAGAGGGGAAATCAGAAATCAGCGAAATATGATGTCCTTGAAACAGGCAAGTATATGAATACCACGAAATTTTAACCCCACGAAAATAAATGATTCTACAGTATATGGTTTATCTTTATTTGTTGCATCAAACTGTGTTGTGTTTCAGGACAAGTCACCACAAAGACCGAAAGAGTAAAGGGAAGGATGGTCCAGAGAAGTCCTCTAAGGATGCTGGGACGTCTGACTCGGCTGCGAGGGGGAGCAAGGTTTGTTAATATACTAATTACACTCCACATTTTCCAACTTTGTCTTTTTGTTGTAATTACTGGGGAAGAAACCCAAGTGTAAACCTTCATAAAAATAAAATCATCCTAACATGATACTAAATTAAAGTTATATTTAGTGCAAATTATGTTATAAACTTGTATGAAAGATTTCTTTTCAATTTATATGAAAATCTATTTTCCCTGTAGTCCTGGTTACATGATGACTCTAAGTACCTGACGCTGGACGGATTCCTCCAGTACGTGCTGGAGATGGCCAGACAGGACGTCCGAGCTGTATGGAGGGCACTTCTGTCTTGTGGATTTGATCTCAACTTTGAAAGGTATGTTTACAGGACACAGTTTATCCTTACACCCTTCTGCAACAAATGCTCTTGTTTTCTAGATTTATTAAACAAAACCTTGAATGAATTTTCATGTATATTATTAATTCAAATAATTTAACATTGATAATTCTTAGCTTAAGTAATAATTTAAATCTTAATGAATTGACAAATACATAGAATCGCACCACCATATCAACTTTGTATTAGATATATTTCTACCGATCAAGTAGTTCATAAACACACAGTATCAATGTTAATTGTAAGACTTAGATACAAACCACATGTCATAATTATATACTGAAGATATGCATACTAGCGTATTAATTAGCTAGAAGACTGTTAAGCCTTTATGTTCAATCGTTCACCTGTACAGGTGCGCCTGTCTGGACAATAGCCAGGCCCAGCAGATGGCTGCCCAGTGGTCACTCGACATGGACACGTCCCTGGTACAGTACATCAACGCCTTCTGTAGGAAACTGTCGGTGGCGCCCTCACGCCTACATCCTCACGAAGTACAATTAACGGAGGCGGATCTAAGCAGCGGCAAGTACAGCTGTCTCCAAGGTAAACAAAGTACTACCTTTCTAGATATTAACATGTAGATTTATCTTATAGGATAAATGAAGTGATGAGTTCACATGCTGGCAGATTCCTTCAGCTCAGTTTGAACATGTACTTCAAAGTTTTCTGACATTATGTTCTGAAAAAGATAAAAATGACATTATAAGTTTGAAAGCTTTTTTACAGACATATTTCATGTCTTCTTTCAACCTTGCCGAGATGAATTATATTAAAGAGGTAAATTTTGTGTTGTAATTGTTTTTTGCCAATTTCTAAGTTTACAACTTGTACACCACATGTTCATCAGCATGAAACTATACACTTACATACATATGGACAGAATATAAAATATCATCATATTATTGCAGCAACAATACCAACATAAAAAACATTCTTCGTTTGAATAGTTAATGGTGTCAAAACATTTCCACAATTCTAACCACCACTCATAATTAACTTATAACAGGTGTTCCTGTGGAGAGTGTCCGCCTAAGGTTTGCTCTGCTCCAGTCCCTGAACAACACACTAGAGACCTTCTTCCTGCCTCTGGTTGACCTTCGACCTGCTAACACCTGTAACCGCAGTACTGCCGCTCTCCTTTCCAAGGTCAGACATCTGGTATTCTACGACTCCAAGGTCAACTTGATGAACCGTGTTTTAAATGCCACAGCACAAAGAAAACCAGACCAGGCAGCACCGGAGATTGTACTGGACCCACTGGAGACATTTAGTGGTAAGAACTGTTGACAGTGACATCCATCTCTTATACAGCCTTCCTGATTATTAGGCTTAACTTTCCTTAGTTCTTTATTTTTAAGATTTTCCAGGTGTATTCCTGCTCTTTTATGCTTTGCTGAATGGGAAAATATTCAAACTTTGTTTGTTATCTCGTTGAATAAGAGGAAACGCGTTCTTCCGTGATTTTTCACAACACCCTGTTAATGTATGGTTGTAGGGGAGGAGAAGACGTCCCTGTTGACATGGCTGTGTCAGGCGTTCAGACAGTTGTCCTCTGTACCCTCCAGTCAGTTCTGTGTGAGGCTCGCTAGTGGGGGAGATCCCACCTACTCCTTCAATGTGAGGCTCACTGGGGAGGAGGTACACGGAACAAGTAAGTATAGCTCCATTATCACTTTACAGGTCATTACTGCTAATGTTCTGATGTCAAGAAACACATGAAATACTGTATACATGTTTACATCTATCTATCAAGGAATAAGTGCTCTTCTGTCACGGTGATAAAAATATGTTCAGTAACTGATAAGAAAGACGTTCTGGGACTGTTTGATGAGAACTTTAGGCTGTGTGATGAGAACTTCAGGCTGTGAGATGAGAACTTTAGGCTGTATTATGAGAACATTAGACTGTGAGATGAGAACTTTAGGCTGTGTGATGATAACTTCAGGCTGTGAGATGAGAACTTTAGCCAGTGTGATGAGAACTTTAGGCTGTGGGATGAGATTTTAGGCTGTGAGATGAGAACTTTAGGCTGTATTATGAGAACTTTAGGCTGTGAGATGATAACTTTAGGCAGTGTGATGATAACTTTAGGCTGTGTGATGAGAACTTTAGACTGTTTGATGAGAACTTTAGGCTGTGTGATGAGAACTTCAGGCTGTGTGATGAGAACTTTAGGCTGTGGGATGAGAACTTTAGGCTGTATTATGAGAACATTAGACTGTGAGATGAGAACTTTAGGCAGTGTGATGAGAACTTTAGGCTGAGTGATGAGAACTTTAGGCTGTGGGATGAGATTTTAGGCTGTGAGATGAGAACTTTAGGCTGTATTATGAGAACATTAGACTGTGAGATGAGAACTTTAGGCAGTGTGATGATAACTTTAGGCTGTGTGATGAGAACTTTAGGCTGTTTGATGAGAACTTTAGGCTGTGAGATGAGAACTTTAGGCTGTGTGATGAGAACTTGATGAGAACTTTAGGCTGTGTGATGAGAACTTAAGGCTGTATGATGAGAACTTTAGGCTGTGAGATGAGAACTTAAGGCTGTGTGATGAGAAGGCTTATCAGTAGGATACAACTGTGAGGATATTTTGCTTTAACTCTATACCCTATGTTACAGGTGGGTCGTTCCGTCAGTTCCTGTCCCAGGTAGCCAAAGAGTTACAGGGTTCATTGGTCCGGATGCTGGTGCCCTGTAGTAGTAGCAACAACATGGGAAAACACATCCTCAAACCTGGACCCATGACTTTCCCCGAGGAGCGGCTTCTACAGTTCTTTGGACAGGTACAATACTTGATTTATATATTCAATAACTCCGGTAAATGAGACCTAGGCTGGATAGGTACTTCACTCTTTAATTATATATTTTGTAGACTTGACATTAAAACATATCTGGGCTGGCTGGAATGATATATCTTCCATACACACTCATTGCATTGGATAAATATGCAAGGATTATTAAACAGTTCATATTACTCACATGAGGGTAGCATCCTGGATTTGATTTCAGTATTTTTATTATTTTAATAATAACATCTTGTTAGGAATGGCTATACATTAAACGTTTTACTTGACAGTTACTTGAGATCAGGAATGGCTATACATTAAACGTTTTACTTGACAGTTACTTGGAATCAGGAATAGCTATAGATTAAACGTTTTACTTGACAGTTACTTGGAATCAGGAATAGCTATAGATTAAACGTTTTACTTGACAGTTACTTGAGATCAGGAATGGCTATACATTAAAGGTTTTACTTGACAGTTACTTGGGATCAGGAATGGATATACATTAAACGTTTTACTTGCCAGTTACTTGGGATCAGGAATGGCTATACATTAAACGGTTTACTTGACAGTTACTTGGGATCAGGAATGGCTATACATTAAACGGTTTACTTGACAGTTACTTGGGATCAGGAATGGCTATACATTAAACGGTTTACTTGACAGTTACTTGGGATCAGGAATGAATATACATTAAACGTTTTACTTGACAGTTACTTGGGATCACGATGAGGGCAGACATCCCCCTAGGTATGGACCTACTCACCTGTTTCTGGAAAGTGTTGGTGGGAGTAAACCTTGACCCAGTTACTGACCTTCAAGAGGCTGACCAAATAACCTACAACTATATCAAGAAAATAGAAATGGTAATATAACTTCCAACATAATAATCAAACCATAGGATAATATTGCAGAATTGTAGCATACAAGTTTTTGAAAAACTTTTTCATAAATGTTAACATATTTAATTTTCTATTTCTACTTGAAATGATATGTTGATATTTGGAGGATTGTAAAATGCACTTGACCTGAAGTTAATATTGAAATATGTTCAATATTCACAGCCTTATAGATTTATCAAATCTGTAAAATGTGATTTCAAGAATTTACAAAAAGGTATAGTGTTGATGTGTAACTACCAGATACTGAACACTGCCAAAGAAATACTTTTATGTCAAAAACTTTGTCAAAAAAATTGACAGAAATTTGACAGAATTGAATTGTAACCATTTCCTATTCTAACATGTACCTGTTGAATTGTCTATAGTGTGAGTCGGAGGCTGAGCTCCAGACCCTGTGTGCAGATGTCTACCCCAGGTTTGTGTTCAACTCCCTGGCCGGAGAGGAAGTTGAGCTTGTTCCCAAGGGTAGCAACATACCTGTATGGTAAGTGTCACAGGTGAAGTGTTTTAAGGAGCTACCTGACAATAATATAAATCAGTCAGTTTATAAAGACCTTCTAAAGACATAATGATATTCATTGTTAAACCAAGGAATATCCTTTTCATAAATTTTTGAATTACTCTAAGCTAGAAAAAGTAATTATGCTTTCTTTGATGGAATTCGCGTATCCCGGTTGAAACGATTCAGGTGGCGCAGAAATATCCTTTACCTTATCTAGTATGTAGTAAAGGTTGATAAAAAAGAGAAGACTACATACATGTTTTGTTGAACAGCTGGGAGAACCGACAGGAGTATTTAGACGCTATCCGGTCCCTGAGGAGCCAGGAGTTACAATGTGATGAGAGAGTACTTGCCCTTCACTGTGGTTTGGCCTCACTCATCCCCATACAGTTACTCTCCCTCCTGTCCCCCCTCGACACAGAGATACGTACCTGTGGAATTCCTGTCGTCGACCTCGACTTCCTCAAGGTAGGAAGCCTGATTGTCACTGATGTTAATGTCTGTAATGCTTCAGTCGGCTTTACTTCAATATTGTGCCATACCACTGTTACACTTTTGTTATAGCCCCGTCATTTCCTATAGTTATGTCAGGAGTAAGCTATATAAGGCTCTCCAACCTAGAACTTTAGTTATTGTAAACACACCTATCTTAAATTCTTTTTTGAAAAGAATTGCACTTTTTGGCTAAGAGAAATTGCTTTAAAAACATTAAAACCTTTAAAACAACTTATAAAACTAATTTGTTTGTTTGCCTATGGTTTGCTATAAAAATGTTTTACAGTGTTTTGAAGGTATTTGTATTCATGTAAATGATTTAAAAGAGACTACAATAAATCATATTCAATATGTGACTTTTTGAAAAAGTTCACTATACAAAAATTAAATCAAAACATTCTTAAATTCCCTGAATAGTAATTACAGTACTAGACTTGTAAGTTTTGATGCATGATGTGCGTGTATGATAATGTATTTGACACTAAAACCTACTGATGTTGCCATCCCTAGGCCCACACAATGTACCAAGTGGGTCTGATGGAGACCGACACCCACATAGAGTACTTCTGGAACACCCTGGAGAGTCTAGGTCCTGACGATCTGTGTCGCTTCATCAAATTCTCTTGTAACCAGGAGAGGATTCCTCAGACATGTCCATGTAAGGAGGGCGGAGCCGATTCCGCACACGTTCCTCCCTACCCCATGAAGATAGCTCCCCCTGATGGGGCAGGTATGTCAAGTGATGAGTTATTACCTCTCATAATACAAGTATGTAAGGTTAGAGTTACACCCCTTAATGGGAAAGATAAGGTATAGCCCCAAATTACCTCAGGCTTGAGTGAGCTCCCCTGGTGGGGCAGATACATCAGGCATGAGTTATCAGAAACTCAAACAAGACTTTATTGTAGAACTTTATATAGCAAAGTTAATGGTTTTTGTCCGACATAAAGTTACATCTTTGGGGTATGTATCTTACTATCTTGACTGATTTATCTCAGGTCTGTTTTTGGTGCAGGATTTACTTTATTATATGTACTTTAAAGAGTATTCTTACGACGTAGTAATCTGACATTTGTTTTTCTGTTGTAGGTACACCAGACTCGCGTTACATACGGGTGGAAACGTGTATGTTTATGATCAAACTACCACAGTATTCCTCACAGGAAATCATGACTCAGAGACTGTTGTACGCGATAAACTGCCGCGAGGACCCCCTCAGTGGCTGACCCTTACCCACCTCTGGCTAACCCCGTGTGCGCTAATCTCTTATTTATTGTTTGGTAGAATGAGCTATAGACACCCAATGTGTATAGATGTTTTATATAGAGATGTGTATATCTGTTACTGGAGATTTATTCAACTGTGTATTTTACAAACAAACAATTATAATGAGAATGTGAAATGGCTCATTTCTGTTGGAAAGAATTGATGACATTCAATATCCAGGACTGTGAAAGGGAGAAGCGATTACGAAACCAATCTTCTGAGGAAGTAGAATGCTGAAAAGTGATGACAAGACAATTTTTGTGTAAGTAGAGAGTGATGACAAGACAATTTTTGTGTATGTAGAAAGTGATGACAAGACAAGTTTTGTGTATGTAGAAAATGATGACAGACACTATCTGTGAATGTGTCTTGTACTTACTGGCTTGTGAAGGGAACATGTTTGTGTTGCTATTTATGTTGAAGTTGGGAATGTGTGAATATGAAGAATTTGACCACTCAAAGTGGAGGCTGTTTAGAGAGTTGATGAAAGCGGAGTCACTGCATGTGAGATGTCTGTATGATGGTATTATGTGGCGACTGGATTCTTATATACAAAATGATACGGAGGTATATTACACCGTGATGTTTTCTAACAGTTTTCTTTTTTTATGCTCTAGACTGCTGTTTGTTATAATTCACTTGTTTGTTTATGCTTTATTTGACTTCATCTTTATTATTCTATAACACTATAGAACATCATTATTACAGACTCAATAGTCCAGACAGGTGATAACATTAAGGCATGGAATTACACTTTAATTTATAATTCCTTTTTTGTGAAACAAATTGTCTGGACTAATGAGTTTACCCTGTGTAGAATATTAAGTCTGTAATACACTAGACCTGTGTCTAGTATGTTCCTGTTAATGTCTTTTATCTCTCGAACCTGACACAATAACAGGGTAACAAGTGTAATCAATGATACATATCTTACTGTCATAGAAATTTAAACATTTTTCTAAAATTCTTGCTTCTTGAAATGAAATCCGGTAACATTACTACTGAAAGTTTATACATTATCTGATATAAGATGTCGAGATCTGTGGTGATGTAACAGTGGGTCTATGTTATAACTATTACCATGACTAATCAACATTGTCAGTGGAGTGAACTCCTAATTACTGAGTGCTGTACACGAGATAATTAGTGTATGCTATATGTTATGTGTGGTATACCAGAGTTTGTCATGTGTGATATGTAGGATGCTATACTGTAAAGTGGAAATTATTGCAGTGTGAAAATGCTTACATTTTTTTCATTGAATAAAAATATCAACACACAGATATATTGCTAATAACCATTGCTAATATGAACATGCTCACACTGCGAACATTTCCACTTTTACAGGGCAGTACCATGTATAAAATAGTATGTTGTGTGTGGTATACATATTACTTACATAATGTTTTATTGACTGTATACGATATTTACCTGTTTTGTGATGGTTTTATTGGGTGAGGCAAAGAAGAACACATATACCAGACACAAACCAGATTAATGTCGGATCTAGCCGGTGAAACAGTCGATACAATCAAAAGTTATTTTGAGTAGGATTTATAACTTGAACAGGCCACATGTAAGAACCAATGGGAGAACACCTTTCTAGCCATGGAAGGTATGTGTAGTGTATATCCAACGAGTGCTATTTATCAGGTATATCTTGGCTGAATACAACTGTACATTAATGGCTGAACACAACTGTATGGTGTGTAGTGGTCATTGTTTACATTTTAATACATGAGTTCGGTGTTGTCTTTAGAATGTGTTCACACGTTATAGTGTCGTGAAATATTAAGGATTTTATTGATATGTTAGATTTAATTTATTGGTATGGCAAATCCCAGTGAAGGGAGATCACACTATTTATATTTCATTTTTTGCATCATTATTAAGTTGTTTGCATTGCCGAGTGGCCGTCACCGTGAAAGTTTATGTTAAAGCATTTATTGTCGAGATTTTAGTGTAAAAAATTATACGAATGTAATAATTGGTCTGTTAATCCATTATTTTATTGAGTTTGAATGTTAGGCTGGTTAAAATCGTTTTATTGAATTTGATGATAATGCTGTTAAAACCTGATTTTATTTGTCTACACTTCAATACTGTTTCTTCCAAATTTAAATCTAAAATCAGAGCTGAGATGATTTACATTCTGTATGCATTTATTGTTAAATCATCTGTATTGAGACCATGTGTGAGGTCCACCTGCAGGTTTGGATTAAGAGTTTGCAATTGGTTCATAAACTATTACAGCTAGAGTGTGATGTTGAGGAACCAGAACGGTTCTGCAGTAAAACTAAGTTCTATTTACAAACTGCAAGGAAAACCAGCGTGTAGTCCTGCACACCACCAGAACTCGCCAGAAGCCTGTGTTTATCTCTAGTACTTTCACTTTTGATGCTGATTTATGTTATCACTTTTTCGAAAATATGTTATATTGCATACAGAATGTAACTTTGGCTGATATTTAAGTTTTTCCCTCTGAAATAATTCACCGCTACAGATCCCAACGATCTGTAATGGTGATCAGGGGAGATAGAAACAATAAAAGGTACATGTAACTTTCCCCTGTAATAACAGCCAATAGAAGTACATGTAACCCCTGTAATAACAGCCAATAGAAGTACATGTAACCCCTGTAATAACAGCCAATAGAAGGTACATGTAACCCCTGTAATAACAGCCAATAGAAGGTACATGTAACCCCTGTAATAACAGCCAATAGAGGTACATGTAACCCCTGTTATAACAGCCAATAGAAGTACATGTAACCCCTGTAATAACAGCCAATAGAAGGTATATCTTTGTCTTTTATATGCGTACGTTATCTTCAGATTGTTGTCACAGTAATGCATTTCCATTATCAAAGGTATTAAATATCTTATAACTTGTATACGCATATTTTGTTATTATTTCTTTCTATGTTTGAGTCTCATCCATATTAACTCATTCACCACTGAAGACACATTTGAACTCTTCCAATTCAAAGGTTGGAATATTTCATTATGAAATTTCAGGGGTGAATGACTTATTCCAGGAGTATACCTAATGGCATTCACTGCCGTCTTATAAGCAATTCAAAATTGGAAATAATAATAAAAAGAGTAGCATCTCCGGAAACCTGATTACCATAGAATATTCTTCTTTTGTGTTGTTGATGGAATGTTTCGTTGCCAGGGAGGCTGTCGCCAGGACACAATATCTCTCAGACTTATTGGCTAAAGTATGAGTGGCATGTGACTTATAGAATCCAGGCTTCAGGAGTTGCTACTGTACTTTATTCTTTCATTGGACGTGTAAATGTGTACTTCCTGCCTGCAAAATATCCTGTACAACTTATCAGATTGATTAAAAAGGCATTGTTGATTTTGATATATATGTACACTGAAGGGAAAATTAAATGCTAGTTCTAATTGTTTGGTTGGGACATACATACATGTACCCTGGTAACCAACATACATACATGTACCCTGGATACTAACATACTTACATGTACCCTAGTTACCAACATACATACATGTACCCTGGTAACCAACATACATACATGTACCCTGGTTACCAACATACATACATGTACCCTGGTAACCAACATACATACATGTACCCTGGTAGCCAACATACATACATGTACCCTGGTAACCAACATATATACATGTACCCTGGTTACCAACATACATACATGTACCCTGGTAACCAACATTTGAGGCATTATTTCATATACATTGTATAGTCCTTAATATTGATGTTAATGATATCAATTCTGATGGTATTGTGAGAAAAGAGCATGGACAAGATACACTGGATTTATTGTCCTCCTTGGAAATGAAAAATGGATAACTAGCAGGTCAGAAACGAGGGCGTGTAACTTGTGTCCCCTTCTGCTGCTGTAGCAGTTTTATTCTTTGCTGCAAAAGTTCATTAGGGTTTTTACTCTTCTAACTGGAATATTGGTCCATTTTTGAACGAGAATGTTGGCGAACTGGGCTGACTGTTTGTGGGGTTTGGGCAGCCTTGTAATCTCAATCAGCTGTCATCCCACAAATGATCACTAGTGAGAGAAATCTGGATTATACGGAGGCCAACCTATTGGAACAGCATTTTGGATTGCCAGGAAATTCCCTGTAGATTCTCACAACATTCGGCCGGACATTATCCTGCTTCATGGTAAGCTGATGCTGCCAAACAAAAAGAGAAACACACAGTCAAAGGATCTCATCTGATAGCAGATTACCACCAAATTCCCACTAATGATCACCAAAAAAGTCGCCATCCCCAAATATATCGCACTCCAAAAATCCAGTGTCAGCAAAACGCTCACCTTGCCACAGATCCACTTGTTGAGGGGTCATCTAGTCTGGGAAACATGTACATGTTTCATATTTGAATATCATGCATAGCCAGAATCTGATCGGAAAATGTATGGGTACATGTGTAGTCAACCATTGCACTGTGAGGACAATTGTATGGGTACATGTGTAGTCAACCATTGCACTGTGAGGACAATTGTATGGGTACATGTGTAGTCAACCATTGCACTGTGAGGACAATTGTATGGGTACATGTGTAGTCAACCATTGCACTGTGAGGACAATTGTATGGGTACATGTGTAGTCAACCATTGCACTGTGAGGACAATTGTATGGGTACATGTGTAGTCAACCATTGCACTGTGAGGACAATTGTATGGGTACATGTGTAGTCAACCATTGCACTGTGAGGACAATTGTATGGGTACATGTGTAGTCAACCATTGCACTGTGAGGACAATTGTATGGGTACATGTGTAGTCAACCATTGCACTGTGAGGACAATTGTATGGGTACATGTGTAGTCAACCATTGCACTGTGAGGACAATTGTATGGGTACATGTGTAGTCAACAATTGAACTGTGAGGACAACTGTATACTGGAAAGGTTTTCGCCACAGTTTAACTTCAGGTATGAATGAGTTAAATGTCATTAAATCATGAATATATTAAGTCCAAAATTAATAGGACTTGGAACAAAAGTAGGACCTAGAGACCTTTTTTATGATAAATCTTAGAGATGTAAGGACAAAGAAAACACAAAGACGAGACTGATTTGAGGTAATTTAATCATAATGAAAGTATAGTGTGACATCACCTGGCAGAAGATAAACAATGATGGATCCCGCCTACTACAATAACAGGAATGGTGGAAATTGGTCCAAATTTGGTATAAACACGGGGCAGAATAGTTGTGTACAGTGATGGTGTATCAGTGTCTACAACGTAAAACAAATTACAACAAAACACGGTGATGTATTACTGGGTGTCTCCAGTGTTAACATGTAGACCAGTGTTAACATGTAGACCAGTGTTAACACGTAGACCAGTGTTAACATGTAGACCAATGCTAACATGTAGACCAATGTTAACACATAGACCAGTGTTAACATGTAGACCAGTGTTAACACGTAGACCAGTGTTAACATGTAGATCAATGTTAACATGTAGACCAGTGTTAACACGTAGACCAGTGTTAACATGTATACCAGTGTTAACATGTAGACCAGTGTTAACATGTAGACCAATGTTAACATGTAGACCAATGTTAACATGTATACCAGTGTTAACATGTAGACCAATGTTAACATGTAGACCAGTGTTAACATGTAGACCAGTGTTAACAGGTAGACCAGTGTTAACATGTAGACCAGTGTTAACATGTAGACCAATGTATACATACAGTGAATGTGTCTGACTGGAGTTAACTCAACCAAGCAACTTATACAATACACAAATATATCCACCAATGTATACATACAGTGAGTGCGTCTGACTGGAGTTAACTCAACCAAGAAACTTATACAATACACAAATATATCCACCAATGTATACATACAGTGAATGCGTCTGACTGGAGTTAACTCAACCAAGCAACTTATACAATACACAAATAGATGCACCAATGTATACATAGGGTGTCATATGTTTGACTGAATGTCATTATATTTATAGAATACAATCAAAAACATGAACCAATACATGCATACCTTGCATAATGTACTCCACACCTGATATACAATGTACACCCTAATACAAAAAATATGATGTTAACAACACGATGTACACCATATTTGATATACACTCCATACGATGTACATCCTTTATGAAGTTAACGATACATAAATGTCAATGTATACCTATATAGGTTCCTATATGATGTACATCACATAAACATATACTATACATGATGTACACCACCCAAAATGTACAATGTATATTATGTACACCCCCAAAAATGTATATGATGTACACCAAACAAAATATACAGTGTACATGATGTACATCAAACAAAATGTATAATGTACATGATGTACACCAAACAAAATGTACAATGTTCATGATGTACACCAAACAAAATGTATAATGTACATGATGTACACCAAACAAAATATAGTGTACATGATGTACACCAAACAAAATGTACAATGTTCATGATGTACACTAAACAAAATGTACAATGTAAATGATGTACACCAAACAAAATGTATAATGTACATGATGTACACCAAACAAAATATACAGTGTACATGATGTGCATCAAACAAAATGTATAATGTACATGATGTACACCAAACAAAATGTACAATGTTCATGATGTACACTAAACAAAATGTACAATGTAAATGATGTACACCAAACAAAATGTATAATGTACATGATGTACACCACCAAAAATGTACAATGTACATGATGTACACCAAACAAAATGTATAATGTACATGATGTACACCAAACAAAATGTACTTTGTATATGTGTACATCTAACTTGACATACATCCTACATTATGTACCCATAGCATGACATCCTCTATACATGAAGAACAACACACCTTTCATGACGTACCCCATACATTACAATGTTTATGTATACATATCTAGAATACATATCAGTGCATCTGTACCTAGTAGATAACTTATGACCATATGCCAAACTAAAATAATATTTTTTTTGTATGTTTGTTTTATCATTTGAAGAACAAGTAAGTTTCTTACCTTTAGAATGAAGCATGTTATTAAGGAATCAGGACACAACTTTTATTGTGAAATTAAAGGCACAATAAATTTCTAAAATCTCAGATTTGAGATTAATAGAAATAAAGAAAGTACACAGACAGTTTCTGATATTTTTGACTTAAGATCTGTAGAAATTTAACAATTACATAAACAGGTAATGAAACAAATGAAGTCAAAGACAAAATGTATGAGGCTTTAGATGTCACAGAATGAAGTTCTGGACCAATCAGAAAGTGTCGTACAGGTGAACTGGACCAATCAGAAAGTGTCGTACAGGTGAACTGGACCAATCAGAAAGTGTCGTACAGGTGAACACTTTAAAATGCACCAACAACATACAAGGTATTTGATTGGTTAACATTTTAACCTTCTGATGAAAACAGCTTTAAAGTCAAAGTCAGATGTTAAATCTGTAAGTAATAATAATCCTGTGTTCGTCCAGTGTGTCTCCTAACATTGAGAGGCGACATTTAACCATTATTATAGCTACTATAATTAACTCTTATTCTCTCCTCCGTCGGCACTAGGGGTCACATGAGATGCGTACGTACAGTCATAACGTGTTTGTTTACAGTCATTGAAAGCACGTTGCTTTGTTTACAAACATTTTACATTGTTTTTCGGTGATCAAAACTCTCTTTTTTATTATAGTTTGTTGTCCACTTAAAGATCAAGGCTGAAAGCAGTCGCACATTTGTATAAATAATGGCTGATGACTTACCGAAATAAAACTCCTAAAATTGGACCTTACCTACACTGTTACAACAGAAATAGGATTAAACGTTGCCATCAGTTTTACGGCAGAGCTAGAATTAATTTTTTGCATCCATTTTTAATGACAGAGCTAGAA